ACTTGTGGTCTTACAAATTGACTTATCTCACAACCAAGGCAATGAAAAAAAATCCTCATAAAAGTCACCACTTCTGCTCCAATAATTAATGATCTTACATTATTTTCATTTCCTTTCATTCTGAAGGGGTATTAACTGTTCCATATCTTGTAGTTTCTTGCTTTCCTTACTTCTACTTCAACTTCACCTTCCTTTTTACTCGCCTTTATTCCCTCTTCTTCTACCCAGAAAACAAAGTAGTTTCTTAAGAAATTGATGCCTTCTAATTATAGGATTTAATTGCCATTTTTGATAGTGAGATTAAAGCATTCATTTGCAGTTTAGCTTTATTTTCCTAGTTTATTTGGGGTAAGAACTTCAAATTTTGTTGCTTTGATTTCCTAGTTTACAGGAGGAATTCCTGCAAAATTTCATTAAAAATTTCTCTTGGAGGAACTTTACAGGATCATATCTTTATCAGTCAAACTATCAATCTATATTACCTGTGATGGAAAATTTTATTTTAAAATAATAAAATAGTTTAATCATTTAAGTTAAATCACGTATCTACTGATACAATCATGTACCCAGTGTAGCTGAAAAGGCCATGAGCCCTTTCCACATAATATATGTGTCAAAATTTAATTTATAGAGGCTATGAAAAATAGTTCTAGACAATTCAAATTATATTTTCTAAGTCTGTACCAAGCTTATTCTTCAAAGTCATTTGTCATTTGTGCTTCTTATCATTTTTCTGATCTTAACATTATTTACTCCTCTACTCTGTATCAGATATTGGCCAAAATTGAAATATTTCTCATTCAAAATCATACTCCTAATTTAAAATAAATAAAACAACAATTGGAGCATATGATTGATAGGTGAAGGCATGCTCTGAATCTCATGATTTCAGACTCTGAAGAAAAGTGTACTCTTTTCAAAGGCCTAGATTGGAAGTGTTCGGCTGAATCTTTGGTAAATATGAAAATGGCTTTCTATGACTTATAAGATAGCCACGAGAACAGTGGCTAGAGAGCATCTGAAACATGGGTTTACTAATTGAAGGACTTACTTTTAAATGTTATTTAATTTTTTAAGACTTTATTTTTTTAAGCATCTTTAAGTTTTACAGGAAAATTGACAGAAACTATAGAGATGTCCCATATACCTTGCCTCCATTTATATATAGCCTCTTTATTATCATCAGTTCCCACAGAGTAGTACATTTTTGGTAATTGATAACCTACAAGAGCATCAAAATTACTCAAAGTCCCTAGTTTTCATTAGTACTCATTTTTAGTATTGTATATTTTATGGGTTTAAAAAAATCAATAGTGATATATGCCTATAATTATAGTATCATATAGTGTATTTTCACTGCCCCCAAAATCTTCTGTGCTCTCCCTGTTCATCCTCTCCTCTGATCATTTTAATGTCTCCATAGTTTTGCCTTTTCCAGATTATCACCAAACTGACTCATACTGTATGTTGCCTTTTCAGATTTGCTTCTTTTACTTAGTAGTGCACCTTTGAGGGTATTCCATGTGTTTTAATGACTTGATATTTTATTTCCTTATAGTGATGAATAATAACTATTTCATTGTTTGGATGTTACACAATAGGTTTATCTATTTACCTACTGAAGAATATGTTAGCTGCTTCCAAGTTTGGACAATTATGAATAAGGTTGCTATAAACAGTTCTATGTAGGTTTTTGTGTGGACCTGAGGTTTCAACTTCTTAAATAATATAAGGAACACAACTGCTGGATTGTATTGGAAGAGTATATTTACTTTTGTGAGAAAGTGCCAAATGGTATTCCAAAGTGGCTATGCCATTTTGCATTCCCACCAACAAAGAGGTCTTCCTCCAAATTTTGACTATCCTATCAGGTATAAAGTAATTTTCATTTCTCTGATGACATATGATGTGGAACACCTTATGATATGCTTAACTGCCAACTGTATAACTTTTATATAAGAAATATATTAAGGTCTTGGCCCATTTTTATTTTTGTTACTTTCTTACTGTTGCATTTTAAGAATTCTTCATCTAATTCAGACATTCCTTTATTGGATGTGTTTTGTAAATATTTTCTTGCAGCATGTGGCTTGTCTTCTTATTTTCTTGATTTCACAGGGCAGCATTTTGTTTTTAACAAAGCCCAGCTTATCAATTATTTCTTTTCATGGGTCATGCCTATTGTATCTAAAAAGTCATCACTGTGCCCAAAGCTCTCAATGAGTTACCTTCTAGTAGTTTTATAGTTTTGCACTTTACATTTAGATCAATAATTCACTTTGAGTTAGTTTATGTGAAGGCTAGAAAGTATGTATCTAGATTTTGTTATTGTTAAAAATGTTCCAAAACATGGAAGCAGCCCAAATGCCCAAAAGTAGATGACTGAATTAAAAAGATGTGGTACATATATACAATGGAATATTACTCAGCAACCAAAAAAAAAAAGAAACACATGTCTTTTGCAGCAACTTGGATGGAGCTAGAAAAGATCATGCTTAGTGAGATAAGCCAGAAAGAGAAAGAAAAATACCGGATGGTTTCGCTCATAGCAGGAGGATAATGGACCAGGAAAGAAAATAATAAGAATAATGAATAGCCATATACCAGAGACATTTTGTGGGGGTGGAGTGGAGAATGGGATCAAAAATGGGGGGGTGGGGGAGAGGGAAGTGCACGGGACTATGGTAATGGCACACCGGTGACTAGGTGATAGGAAACCCATGGGGATTACAAATGAGATGAGAAAAAAAAGTGTACAAAATGATGTAAAAATAAACTATTATATTAATTTAAAAAAAAAAGAAAAAGGAAAAAAAATGTTGTTCCAGTACCTTTCTTCAAAAAGAAATCTTTGCTTTCTTTGCCAAATTATCAGTCGACTATATAAATGTCAGTCTATTTCTGGCCTCTTATTTTTTCTTTGATATTGTGTTACATGTTTTGGGCCTTTTGCCTTTCCATATAAACTGATTTTATTTCTTGATACCCATAAAATTACTTGCTATGATTCTGACTGGGACTGTCAAGTTGGAAAGAATTGATGCTTTAGAAACACTGAATTTTACTAGCTATGAGAATGGAACATCTTTCCATTTATCTAGTTCTTTGATTTCTTTTATCATATTTTTAGCTTTCTTCATGTAGACCTTACATCTTCTGACATATTTATATTTCTTTTACTGGTGGGGGTTGGAGGAGTGGGAAGCTGTGCTAATGTAAATAGCATTGTTTTCAGTGTTAAATTCTAATTGTTTGTTGCTGGTAGACTATTATTTCATTTTAATTAATTAAACTAAATAAATTACCTCACCTAGTTAGTGGCTACTATTTTAGCAAAAATCTAGTTCTTAGAAAATGCTATTACTGTACCAAACTGTAATGCTCCAAAACATTTACACTGACTTATTCATTTAATCTTTATGGAGCATAATTGGCATATGTAACAGTTATCATACATACTAAGTATTTAGAAACATCTACAAGCTATTGAAACTATCACAAGAGACTACTGAGGAATATAGTAATAAATAACTATAACTTTACTTGCTATTAGAAACATCCAAATAAAGAATTGTGTGGATACACCATATAAAATAACTGTATGTTAAAGTTTTATTAGCTGAACTATGGAAAATGTGACAAAATAGATAGGGATGGCATGGAATGAGAAAGAGGACATTCCAAAAAGTCCTGAAAGAGCTCATGTGTCTAGGACACAAACAGCCACATCAAATGGAAGCAGCAGAAGATACTTCCAGAAAATAGACTTCATGTTGACCTTGAACATTGTATATTGTAAAAATTAGTTTGGATACCACCTGTCAGAGTACACAATTTCCTTATTGTAAATTTTACACTTTAAAGACTTTTCAAAAATCTGTTTCATTACTTATAAGTTGTTTATGACAAGATCTGTCATAGATGTTTGTCTTTGACACCACTGTACTACATGGCATCCAGTTGAGTAGCTATAAATATTTGTTGAATGAGTTAATGTGTCTGCTTTCTCTGAAGCTTGATGCACTCTGAAAGCATATTAATTACTCTCTTTGAAGTTACCTTTTGACTTTTCTTCCACCTCTAGAGCATCAATCACAATGCCTATCAGTATGGCAGTTTGGTGGCAATTCTTACTGACAAGTTTTATGATTGTGTTCTCTGCATTTTAAATAAAACTGGTAAATTTACTGGACAGTAGACCTGAGTCACCCAGAGTAAGATATTGAAATGGGAAAGCAACTGGAATTAACCTCCTTTGTTAATTCTATTTCTAGAACTTGGGGTTAAAAGTATTTTTTAAGTTAAATATAAAGGTAAAAAGGGGGAAAATGGAATATCTACTTTTTACAATCTCAGTGTAGGAGAAAAGCAAAATAAACTTGCCACTGTCTCCTCCTATATCATCCACAACTACATATTTGTAATTTATAACCTTATTCTTATATTTTCTCATGGTAGGACTGAACCAGTTTTTCCTTTGAGAAAAGGAAAAGGCTGGCATGAAAGCAATTCAACAGTCTTTATGACACCCAAATCGGTCACTTTGTGTAAGAAAATACAAAGTAATTACCTTCAGTAGTGTCCCACACACATCGCTCTGGGCCCAGGTAAGAATTAACACGATTCCCTATATAGAGGGTACAATACATTAGTTAATAACAGCTAACAGATGTGGGAGAGGCTCTTTGCAGGTACATCTCCTCCTGCCCCTCCTTCCCAAACAAGAGGGCAGACGAGGGGTGGGGGAAAGCGGTGGATTCGGTAACCACTGTGCCAAACGTTAGGAATTATGCAAAGACCTAAGGCAGCACTCTACTAACTTGAAACCACCCTGCAGGACTCCCGCAGGACTGAGACTGGAGACCACCAAGCAGCTCCCGCACGCTGAGGAGGTCGCTCCGCCCATGCGCGGGGGGCGGGGCTGGACTGCTCGGCGTCCCGCGTCCGTCTTTGCGTCGGGGGCGGAGTCTCTTGTCCCTCTGCGCGGTCCGTTCCTCCAGGCCTCCTGCAGCCTTTGGGCTGACGTGTCTGCAGTTCCTCGGCGGCTCCACGAACTCGGCGGTGATGGCGGACGCCTGGGAAGAGATCAGGCGGTTGGCGGCTGACTTCCAGCGGGCGCAATTCGCAGAGGCCACGCAGAGGTGCCTGATCCTCCCTCTCCATTTCCGAGTTCAAAATATCCTGCAGGCGGCCTCGCCAGTGTCAGAGGCCGCAGGTTTCTGGCCCGAGAACCCGGACTTGCTCAGCCTGTCGTGGTTCCCGCCTCCACCCTCCTTCCCGAACGTGGATTGAGGTTCCTAGTACAATTCCCTGGGGGAAGCCCACAGCTACTACGCCCAAGGACCTTAAGGCCGCCCCACGCGGTGCTGGCGCGTCCCGCCCCCAGGACGGCCTAGGCTAGTGACTTCCAGCTGTCCCTACCTGTCATCAGGTCACTGTGGCATTGTTGCCACATTCTGCACTTTCCGACTTAGATTGAGCTCGAAAGGAGGGGCTAACCCCCAAATACAGCGTTTCGCAAATCCTGTGATCAGTCTTGCCTTTGTCCACCTTAACGTATGTGCTGGGCCCCACCCTTGGCCCCTTCTGTCAGTTTTAGGAACTCCAGGACACTGACATTTCCTAACTTTTTACTATTTACTATTATAGGACACGTTTAATGCTAATTGAGTTCTTTTTTTTAACCGTTGACAAAGTTCTTGCCTTTGGTGTGTGTTCTGGGGTTGCAGACACCCTTTAGTGCTGTGTTTTGTATCACTGAGCGCAAGCTAGGTTACCTAAGTGCCTGAGTAACTACATTTGCACTTAAATGGTTTTCCTAGGCCAGCTCTGCTTACAGACTGTAAGGGTGAGGCAGTTTACAGGCAATTTTAAACAATTCTGGGTGTTTTGTTTTTAAATGAAAGTAGATCAGGTTTTTTTCCTACTTAAATTACATGCCCACACTCTAATATTTCGACTTGAAGGTGAGGAGAGCTAGAAGAAAGCAAACTTGAAATCTGTAATAGAATGATTTCATAAATTAAGTGCATGATCTCAGTGCATATAAATCTGCTTACTCCCAGGAGTTTAACTTATTGAATCACGATCATTATATTAATGGAAGATACGGATTTTGTAATGAACTAATGACCTTTTGCTCAAACCTCAAAGATCATACATTATGTTAACTTTATTGATCCCTAAATGTATCAGGTGTTGTTTTAGAAATTTTCCTGTTTCCTTTAGGTTGTCAGAGAGGAACTGCATTGAGATTGTGAATAAACTGATAGCTCAGAAACAGCTAGAAGTAGTTCACACCCTTGATGGGAAGGAATACATTACACCAGCCCAGATTAGTAAAGAAATGAGAGATGAGCTACATGTCCGAGGTGGTAAGTGACTTATTAGTTGTTGTTTTTGTCTTCTGGTTCTTTGAAAAGGGAAAAACTTTTATATAAACACATGGCATTTTGCAGCAACAGCAGTGGAGCTGGAAGGGATCATGCTTAGTGAAATAAGAAAGAAAAAGAAAAATACCAGATGATTTCACTCATAGCAGGAGCGTAATGGGTTGGGGGTGGATGGGAAAAGAAGCAAATATAATGAAGTAAAAATGAGAACAACGAACATCTATGCACCAGAGACATGCTATAGGGTGAGAAGGGGTGTGGGATAAAGACTGGGATTAGAAGAGTACACTGGGCTATGGTGATAACTACTGGTTGAATTGCTGGTGGGTAGCTCACAGGGATTAAAACAGGTGAAAAATACCCAAAATAATGATGTAAAAAATAAAGTTATTTTTTAAAAGGAGAAATTTTAAACCATAAATTATTTTGAGGTTATGGGACATCATAACTCAATTGTTAATATAGTAAGCAGCCTTAATATTTTTAACAGGGGCCCTCCTGGTGGCACAACAGGTCGGACGCAGCACTACAAGCTGGCTGCAGCCGCTTTAGTGTGAGTTCGATCCCCCGACCTGGAGGAGATCCACATGGCGTGGCAGACCTCTCCTAACGGAATGGCTGCTCCCCTCAGCAGTGTACTTCGTTGATCTGCCTGTTCTGCTCCCGGCTCGGTCTCTGGTGAAGCCTCTCACTGCCCCTGCACCTCTGGATTGTACCCCAGTTCTGTATGAATAAATAAATCTTAAAAAAAAATTCTTAACAGATTCAGGCAGATATAATACAATTTAAATGAAGTCAGATATTTTCACTTTACAAAATTTATTTTTTGAGTTATGTATTCTCGTGTATATAAATCTGCTTTTGAACTGACCAACTTTCTCTTCATAACTTTTCTTTATTCATGACTTAGAGGAAAATATTTAGTTGCCTGTTATCATGTGATTAAAAGAAGGAACAGAGATTTTGAAGGGTTATATATTCTTGAAATTCATGAAGGTATTGCAGTGCTTTTTCTTTATAACTTACCTTTAAGTATATTTTTTTTTTAAAGATTTATTTATTTATTCATACAGAACTGGGGTACAGGCCAGAGGCTCAGGGGTGGTGAGAGGCTTCACCAGAGACAGAGTGGGGAGCAGAACAGGCAGATCGACGAAGTACACTGCTGAGGGGAGCAGTGGGCGGGTCAGGAGAGGTCTGGCTCGCCATGTGGTCTCCTCCAGGGCAGGCAGCAGGCGGGAATCGAACTCATGCGGAAGTGGCTTCAGATTCTCAGTGCTGCGCTCTAACCCGCTGCGCCACCAGGGAGGGCCCCTTTAAGTATATTTTTTAAGATTTATTTATTTATGTATACAGAGCTGGGATATACAGACCAGACGTGCAAGGGTATGAGAGGATCCACCAGAGACAGAGTGGGGAGCAGGACAGGACAAGTGATGAAGAACACTGTTGAGGGGAGCAGTGGGTAGGTCAGGAGAGGTCTGCCATGCCATGTGGATCACCTCCTGGGCAGGGACAGAACTCATGCTGAAGTGGCTTTAGTTTCTCAGTGCTGTGTTTTAACCCGTTGCGCCACCAGGGAGGGCCCACCGTTAAGTATTTTTAATTTAGGAAACTCAATTCAATATGGTGCCTCACCTATTATATTTTAAGAAATGTTACTACACATACACAAAGTATTGATTTTCCTGCCTTTTTAAAATTAAACTACTATGCAAATTTAAATACTAGTTCATTAAAATAGAAAAAACTATGAAAACTACTCTTTACATCTTATTAGATACATCCTTAATGTTTTTATAATCTTACATAGTGCTAATAAAATGTTAGCTATACTTTGTTAATTGTAGATGTTTATAATTAGGATTACCTTCCAATTTCAAATAATTGAAAAAGTTCAACTGAATTTAATTGTCCATATCTTTGGTCACAATAGGTTAAATCCTAAAGGGAGATAAATATCTTCCTTTAGTCTTACCACCTTGTATATTAGTAGGTAGTTGCAATAATCTGATGTTATAAAATTTTGTAATTAATACCTATGCTGTAATGAGGATTTATTCAGCTAGTAGTATGTATTGGACTGTGACTCTGTGCTGTGTTATTTGAAGAAAGAGGCTATAGACTGTCCAAAATGTAAATCTGTTGGCATTTACTGGTCTTGCTGGTATGTACTGTGATGTAATTTAAAATAAATGTATTTCTTTTCTTTAAAGGTCGAGTTAACATTGTTGATTTGCAACAGGTAAATTTTAAACTTATAAAGTATTCCTTTGCTTTTACAATTTTTATATGAATTTATTCTGTGGCTTTAAATGTATTCACTAATAATGGTATCATATTTTCTGTGCTTAAATAATTGCATAAATAATCCTCATTATTACATTGAGTCAATAAGTTGGGTTTTTTCTCATTTGACTTACTGTATATTCTTTTATCAGCTTAGTCATTTTGTGTAATTATAAAGTTATGTGACTTTGGGAGAGAAATCACTATTTCATGATTATTCTTTTTTATTATGTGTCAGTATTACAGAAATATAAAAAAAGTGGAAGATAGTTAGAAAATGTGTTATCAGTAAGATACACTACATACCAAAAAAGGTGAATCTTGTATGAAAGGGTGACTATCATATTACAAAATAATTCTCTGCTTAATATACTTTCCTAGAATGCAAGTATTTAGAACTAAAAGTAACTATGTAATAAAACCGCTAATTTTTTATTTGACCAAGGCTTTTTTCACAATATTCCCTATCAATTTTTGAAATTCCTCTAAGTTTTTGAAACTAGTTCTGAATATTTAAATTCAAGTTTAGGAAACACTTCAAGTTTATCACTAATCAAATTTGTATTTATTTTCTAGGTAATTAATGTGGACCTGACTCATATTGAAAATAGAATTGGTGACATTGTTAAATCAGAAAAGCATGTTCAATTAGTGTTGGGACAACTGATAGATGAGTAAGTATAATATTTAAGAGTGTTTTGTTGTTTTTAAAATATTGTTTAAATTTTGAACAGCTGTGGCCAGTTCACCATTTTGTTTAGAACTCTTATAATCCTGATCTCTATTACAAAAATCATTGTACTTAAAAAGTAAGTGCTTAAAAGAATATACAGTAGAACAAGAAAAATCTTTTCAATAAATGGTGCCTTGAAAATTGGACTGACTCATATAAAAGAATGAAACTAGACCACTGTCTTTCAACATACACTAAAATAAGCTCAAAATGGATAAAAGACTTGGATATAAGACCTGAAATCACAAAATGCATAGAAGAAAAGATAGGCAAAACACTCCATGACATAAACTTCAGAAATGTCTTTTTTGCGGACTCTCTCCAGCAGCAAGGAAAACAAAGAACTGATTCTGTATCACACTGAAAGCTTCTGTACAGCAAAAGAGACAGTCACCAAAACAGAGATATCCTAATGAATTGGAGGTAATACTTGTACACTACATATCTGACAAGGGACTGAAATTGAAAATTTACGAAGAACTCATAAAAAAGAAAACAACCTCATCAAAAAATTAGCAGAAAAACTAAATAGGCACTTCTCCATAGAAGACATGCAGATGGCCAACAGGCATAGGAAAAAATGTTTATCATAACTTTTCATCAGTGAAATGCAAATCAAAACCATAATGAGATATTACCTCATACCTTTGAGATGGTGTATATTTTTTTTAAAAAAAGTGCTAAGGACAGTGCAGAGAAAAAAGAACCCTCTTACACAGTTGGTGGGAATGTACACTGGTGTAACTCTATGAAAAGAAGTGTGGAAAGTACTCAAAAGACTGAAAATGGATCTACCATATGACCCAGCAGTTCCACTCCTAGGTATCTAACTAAAGAGCACATAACACTAACTTAAAAGGAAACCCTCATTCCTATGTTGACGGAAAATGGATCTACCATTTCCACTCCTGGGTGTCTATCTGAAGAGCAGAAAACACTAACTTAAAAGGAAACCTTCATTCCTATGTTTGTACAACACTATTTATAATAGCTGAGACATAAAAACAACCTAAATACCCCAGATAAGATGAGTAGATCAAGAAGATAATAGTGTACACACACACACACACACACACAATGAAATACTACTACCCAGCAACCAGAGAGGATAAATTCATGCCATTTGTGGTAACATGGAGAGAGCTAGAAGGGATTATCTTAAGTGAAGTGAGCCAGAAGGAGAAAGATAAATACCGGATGGATTCATTTATATGTGGAATATGGAGAAACCAAACAAAAATCAGAAAAAGACTTTCAAATTGAATCGTTAAAGTTGATCATTGATCTGAGGTACCAGAAGGGGAGGAGGAAAGGGAAGAGAGAAAGAGAACACCAGGGACTATGGTAGAGCACTATGGGGACCACACCTGAGGAGAGAAAATCTATATTGCAAAAAATAACAAACTAGATTGAAAACAATAATGGTAGGTCATTAATTTAAAAAAAAAATGATCTAAACTTTAAAAAAAGTGTTTAACTGTGTGGATTTACTTAATTCATGTACTTGGAAATAACATTTTTTTCTGTTACCTTAAAACAACAGACATATTTTTCATCTTTCCTATATGATCATTCTGAAAATTAGATTTGTTCCAAATATACTAATGAAAAATGACTGCAGAATTTCTAATGTTAAAAAAATGCCAACAGGCCCTCCCTGGTGGCGCAGCGGGTTAAAGCACAGCACTGAGAAGCTAAAGCCACTTCCACATGAGTTCGATTCCCACCTGCCTGGGAGGTGCCCGCATGTCGTGGCAGACCTCTCCTGACCCGCCTGCTGCTCCCCTCAGCAGTGTACTTCATCATTTGGCCTGTTCTGGTCCCCACTCTGTCTCTGGTGAAGCCTCTCACCGCCCCTGAGCCTCTGGTCTGTACCCCAGTTCTGTATGAACAAATAAATAAATCTTTAAAAAAAAAAATTGCCAACATTTGTAATTTAATTAACCTTATATTTAATTTATAATAATGAGAAAAAATAATTATCAGAATGAGTGATGGTGTTTACCTGTCATGTTTCATTGCAGCATACCTTTGGGGGCATACCTTTTTGCAATAGAAATTAAATGTTATAAGGAAAGTCATTATTTCAAATTGCTTTTTTCTTTGACTTTTTTTTTTTCTTAAATATTAGGAACTATTTGGATCGGTTAGCCGAAGAGGTCAATGACAAATTGCAAGAAAGTGGTCAGATAACCATATCAGAATTATGTAAAACATATGATCTTCCTGGAAACTTTCTGACACAGGTATTTTTCCTTAATAGTACTATGTGTCTTTTAAGGGAAATATGGAATTATAATGGGAGGAGAAAACTTTTCTTATTAGTGTGTTTTTTTGTGTTTTTGTTTTTTTTGGCAAGTGTTTGTCACTGTTAATGTTGTAGAGTAATATTTGGAAGTTAATTCTTAATACATTGATGGCTATGATAAGATCATTTATGGGATCTCCAGGTCTGTAGTAAGAGGTGTTATCTTTACCACTGATCCACACCTAAGATGGTTTAGAAATGACTATGCTGTTCCTGAATACAGGAACAGTTTATTAAGGAATTAATAAATCGAGCTCTAGGCTTTCTTTGACCCAGGAGCAAGTATACCATAGTGCATAGGCTTATTTAGTGGAAGGAGAAGACTGGACTTTTTTTTCTTTTGTTGCACGTGTTTGACTATCGACATTGTAGAAAAATATTTGAGAGATATGTTAACTCATTGATGGCTCTATAAATCACATATGAAATCTTTCTGATAGATAATTTTTTCTTAATAGTATATTGCACCTTTTTAGATAAAGAATTTCTTGCCCAAAATGTCATTAAATTCCAATATATGCTTCACCCTTTTTCTTCCTTAAACTTTTAGTATGATCAGAACTAAGGAATCTCAACTAGTCTCTTACTTCTAGATACTTGTGATACTACTCAAATATGTTAATTTATAGTATCAAACAATGCCAACTATTGTTTGAAATAACTTGACAATACCAACTATTGAAAAGAGTCTGTTTTCTTAACATGTTTTAATATTTTAAAATTATAGAACTTTACTTAGCATATTGGAAAATCCACAAACTTTGCAGTTAAACAGACCTTGAAGTCTGTGACACTTCTTATTAAATATTGGGAAAATTATTTCACTCTTTTGTCCTTCAAGTTACATATCTGAAAATAGAAATAACTGTCTTATGCATAGACATCAATGAAGTTATTATATATATGGTATAAGTAGGGAAATGTCCTGGACAGTATAGGCACTCAATAAATGATGATTTTGTTTTGTAAGTATTGCAACAAATACAGAAAAATGAAAATCTTTCTTTAGAAGTGACACTAAGAAAATCCAGCTTATAAAAGTTTACCAAGCTTTAATTGTATGAAATTAATTTATAATGCAAACAGATTTATTCACCTTTATAAGAATTCTTTAATTCCACTTAAAATACCATTTAGGGTATAGAGCTGTTTTACAATAATGTTTCATGAGCCTAAAGTCTGTTTTAGTGAACAAATACATGTTAACCACAGAAGGTCAAAATATATGTATCCACAGCCTCCCTGGTGGATTAGGAGTTAAGTCTCAGTGCTCCCATCACAACAGCCCTCAGAGGAGGCTGAGTTCAATTCAATTCCTGGCCAGGGTGCTAACCCACATGGTGCAGCAGACCCCTCCTGTTCCTCCCTCTAATCCCCTTAACAGTGTTTTTCAGTAGATCTGCCTGTTCTGTTCCCCATTCTGTCTTTGCTGGTATCAACCAAGTTGACGAGTAAATGTAACTTGTCTTGGGACATAAAGTATATATCAGACATGACTCATAGTGTAACTGTGAAGTCTTATTCTCTTGAGGTTACCAAGAAACCAAACCGTCTGCCAGTGTAAATCTCTGGATACCCATAACTTGTTAATATTTGCAGACCTCTTGTTTCCCTAGATTGCAGAACCTTATAATGAAAGACATTTATTCCTTTCCCTTACTGTTAGACATTCCAGATGAGGTCTTCTCTAATACCCAAGTACATGTCTTAACTATTTGTATGATTCAAGTTACCTATATCTAGAATATTAACTAATCATTTTTGTTGCACACTAGAAATATAACCCTATAAGCAAGTAGCACAGTCATTCAATGTATTAGCAAGTTATCTCATTCATTTCTTGGTTCTGCCATGAGATTATAGATTTCTAGATCCTAAATCTTCATTTTAGCTCATATAGCTTGTGGATTTATACTGTGAATATTAAAATTCTTCCATCACACTTCTCAATATTTATCATACCACAACGGCAGCATGACTTTTTAAAGACTATTCAAATGTAAATACAGGTGTAATTTTGTTTTTTCAAATTAATAGAAATTTGCATCTTTATCTCCAGGCACTAACACAGAGACTGGGTAGAATTATTAATGGACACATTGATCTTGATAACAGAGGAGTAATTTTTACTGAAGCTTTTGTAGCTCGACATAAAGCACGTATTCGTGGACTATTCAGTGCCATCACCCGGTAAGTGTGTTTCAAAAGTATATATTTTTACAATTTTTGATTATGTTTTTTTATTATGTTTAGTGTTTCCTTTCCTAGCAAGTTAATCTTTTGTTTTAGCAAAATCTCATAATAAAAACAAAAGAATTTCTGTGAAACATGAGCCCTAGAATGTAGCGAGACTCTTCACATCTCTTTCACCTCCTTACCCTTAATATACTTTATGGATCCAGGTGCACCTCTGAGAACCAGATGAGTATATAATGTCACCCTGCGATCATGTAAATAAAATGTAGTTTAAAGTCAAAAGAGCAGATAAATCAGTCAATAGTTTCTTCAGATGTGACAGGATGATTTTAGAACCCTTTTTACTAAATACACTACTGAATACACTGTACAGTTCTGGTGATTAACAGTGTTACTTTCGAGGTCACTTTAACTTTCCTGAAATAAGAATTTCTAATCTGTTTTAAATCTATGTGACAGATTTCAATGCGTAATTAAGAAAACTTACATTCTCATTATCCTCTCTCCTGTGTCATTGACTTTATCTCAGTGATTTTGTGTTTTACCATGCTAACTTTTAAATATGTCCTAATTGCTCTCATTTTAAAACAATCAACCCTTTCTGAACCCATGTTCCACTCCATCTACCATCCTGTTTGTTTCTTTCTTAGACTATCCTCTCAAGAGTTTGTCTATATTTACTTATTTGAGTTTCTTAACTTCTCAATTCACCCATCTGGCTTTTACCATTTATCATTAAATCTAATAGGTATTTCCTGTCCTAGTTTACTTTGTAACAGTACTTAAGTTACTTCTTTCTTTTTCAAATGCTACTTTTTTTTAAGACACCATATTTTATATAGTTTTCTTTTGATATCCTTTTCCTAAGTCACCTTTTCTAGCTCTTCCTCTTTTCCCTAAACTTTCAAATTTCATGTCAGGCCATCTTTTCTTCTCAATCCAGCACTATCTTCTTGAGTGATTTTACCTATTCAAATTCAGTCTCCCACTAGCTACTTAGCATTGCTACTAAAATGTTTTACAAGGTCCTCAGATTCAACATACTTCATATTATCCCTGAGCCATCCTGCTCTTTACAGCAGCAGAATTTTATTCTTCCACTTGTATTTCTACTACCAATAAATGTCATCTTCTTGTTCTTTTGTTTTTCCCTAGAAACCTGGCAATCATGCTTTTTATCACCTTTCTCTCTTCCTCCATTCAGAGCCCAAAATCTTTTGAATTCCATATTCTAAATAAATAGGTAGTCTTTGTTTTTCTGACATCACCATTTCTAACACCAGTCCATTTTTTACCAGAACTATTTTAGTGACTTTCTAACTACCTCTAGTCTGCTTTTACTACCTTTCAGAAAATAGTTTATATTGCAGCTACAGTAACTTTTTTTTATTGAGGATGTAAGACTGGTTGGAAAGGAAAGCTTGCAATGTAATGCAACAAGAAACTAACAATAGTATCCCATCACCACAGATACTTTGGCCTATATGTCCAACAACAACAAAAAAGGCATTTGTCTTAAATAATGCAAACATCAAAATCAGAAAATTAAATTAATATATTCCTACCATCCAGACTTGTCTTCAGATCCCACTCACATTCCACCCGTTGTTGCCATAACATCCATAAGAATTGAAGATCCTGATGAGAATCACATAACATTTAATTGTCATATCTCCTTAATCATTTTCAATCTATGCACTTGATCTTTTCTTGACTTTCATGACCACAAGTATTTTTTGTAGAATATTCTGTTTTGCTTATCTCTTTCTTCCCTATGTGGAGACTCTCCTTAATCACATAGACTTTGAAAGCTTGTACTAATCACCCTTTTAATACAAAAACCTGTTAACAGGGTTTTTTTTTTTCTATTTTTGATGTTTGTATTATTTATTTAAACTGTTAATAGTTTTTTGTTGGAGAGCAACTAGCTAATTGAGTGATAGATGTTGACAGGAATTATTCCTGCAACTTTGTTGTACCCTCTGCATTATTTAGTAAATAATTCTAAAAACAAATTTTTCCTATCCATTTTTCTTTGGGTAGCTATTGTTGAAAGTATAGTTATTATCAGGTTCAGCAAATATATATTTTCTGACTCATAATAGCCCTGACTTTTTCTATATGGAGATAATTATCAAGTCATGAGAGAAAAGAATAGCTAAGCCTTACAAGATGCTGCAAGGCTATGTGGTAAACAGAGTTCCATTTATGCACCATATCTTCATATTTACCCCTTAAATGTAAGGAATCACCTTACCTTTCTGGTCTTGAGGAGAACACCTGCATCTCAAATTAAATAAAATAAATTTATATTGTAATTATAGGATTCTAGGATGAAAAGCAATAATTAGAAATGAGATGTGTAGGTATATGAAGATGTTGTATTCTAAGTTGAAATAAAAACTTAGAAGCTAAATTTCATTGTGCAAAAAAGCTGGATATTTTGTGAAATACAAAGCAACATCTATTGAACACCCACAGTATTATTTACCCAGAAATTTTTAAGATACGGAATCTTTTAAGGAGCCCTCTATATTTTTGTAGAGATGTGCTCAGGTAAAATAGAACAGAAGACACACAACAACAACAACAAAACATGAGAAAGTTGTATTAATTACAAACAAGAGAGAGCAAAGTTAGTGAACATAACTGCTTTGAGGAGCCAGTACTTTAGCTGAAAGATTTGAATAAAAAAAATAGTAAAAAACAAATTGATTCACACAAGGATTTAGTAAAAGTAATAATTTAGTGAAAAATTCCCTTTATTTTCAAACAGATACTTCTGCTCTCCCAACTTTATTTTAAAGAACATATGTGACACTTATTTAAGTGTCTTAGTTATCTATTTAAAAATAAAAACTAATAAACCCAAGTCAGCAAACAGGCATGATGACTTAAAATGTATTGGGAAAAAAACTATAGCTAGAAAAAAATGTATAGATCCTGTTCTCTATGGTTTCCTTTAAAAAATAATAATAATAATTATAGTTCCTATACAAGAAAAGCACTGACAGGGACAGGGATCTACCCAAAAGAAATTCAAATGTATGTTCACAAAAAGACATGCACACAATTATTCATAGCAAGTAGCATGACTATATTTATTGGATTGATTAATGATACGTTAATTGCACCTTATTAAAGCAGTTAAAATAAATGCTAGACATTGCAGAAAATACTGATAAACAAAAGAGAACATTTTAAATGGATCCCTCCCAGTCATCCATCTGGGAATATGTTATTTCAGATATCACATATGTATCTGTAAACACACACACTTATTTTCCTATGATGTTTTCTTGACTATTTCCTAGTAGAGAAAGAACCTTCAGGATAGTAAGAATAGAACTAAGAAATAAAACACACAAAAATTAGGTAGACATAAGATCACTAAATCGAGATATTTGATGGGGTTGTAAATTGTTTTTGGACTGAGAAGACATACCACTTTCTTGTTATTTCAGTAGCATAATTCTGGTTAAGGATGTAAAATTTGGTGCAATTTTTTTTCTTATAAATTATTTGATGCTTTGCATTAATTATCCTGGTTCCTTTTTAAATTTTAAACACGTGTATCTCTATAATAAGTTAGAAACTTTTTTATGTTTTTCTTTGCATAAAGACCTACAGCCGTGAATTCCTTGATTGCAAAATATGGATTTCAGGAGCAGCTTCTTTACTGTGAGTTTGGTTTAAATGATATCAGCTAACTGCTGAATATTGGTACTGTAAAACACCATTTTGGAGCTTAGCCTATGTTTGCCTGCTCTTTCCAACAGGAAGTACCATGTAGTTTAGAACATGACAAAAAGGGATACTTACCAGTCACCAATCTTATGTTAGTGCCCTTTTAATCTTAAAATGTATTGTAACTGGGAGGAGGAAAGAAAAGAAACAGTGCAACTAAAATATTTATGGTTGAAATAGGCTCTCTAAACCAATTTCCATTATTTGTTTATCTTTTCCATCCTCTAAACATTTAATACTGTATAGCCCCCAGAAGAAGGGAATGAAAAAACACTGTGTATCTGACCTGCTTTTTGTTATTCTGATTTATTTCTACTTGTTTTAAGCTGTGCTTGAAGAACTTGTTAATAATGGACGCATACGAGGCACTGTGCTTGGTGGGAGACAGGATAAGGCAGTGTTTGTTCCTGACATCTACTCCAGAACACAAAATACTTGGGTGGATTCCTTTTTCAGACAGAATGGCTACCTGGGTAACTGATTTTTTTTTTTTAACCAAAACTTCTCATAGTAAACATATTTTTTTTTTTAAATTTATTTATTTGTACATACAGAACTGGGGTACAGGCCAGAGGCTCAGGGGCGGTGAGAGGCTTCACCAGAGACAGAGTGGGGAACAGAACAGGCAGATCGACGACACTGCTGAGGGGAGCAGCAGGCGGGTCAGGAGAGGTCTGCCACGCCATGTGGTCTCCTCTGGGGCAGGCGGGAATCGAACTCATGCGGAAGTGGCTTTAGCTTCTTAGTGCAGTGCTTTAACCCGCTGCGCCACCAGGGAGGGCCAGTAAACATTTTTAAAAACTGTTTTGCTAGCTCTGAGACTACACACATACTTTATTTTTGGCCATAGATCATAGTGGTTCTCTTTGAGTAAGTAGTCACACTACAACATTTGTGGGCCTTTGAGTTAAGTTTAACTCCATAGTTATTAAACAGGTTTAATGTAAAAACTTGAAAACTAATGTTCATTATTAATGAACTTCTAATAATATTAATAATAATATTATGCAACTTCAAGTATTTTTAATTGATAAAAATATATTTATTCTATCTTTTCAGTTATACCATCTTGAAATATTTTATTATCTTACCTTACAATATTCATTTTTACTATTTATTTAAATCAGATACATTGGAGTTATTCTAAGTTCTATTTCTGAATTTCTGAGTAAGTCCTTTGAATATAGTAGATACTTAATTCAGTCATTGAAATGATTAGAATATATATATGTACATGTAGCAAGCTTACTGATTAATTTCCAAGTTAAACTGTCAAAGACATTAGTTCTTTTTCAGTAATATACTATAACATATTATAGTTCTCAAACAGTTTAAGCATATACTAGGATACTGGGCTTTGCTTGTATTTTCTTGAATTTCTGTAAAGTACTTCTTAGCTTCTTCAACCACGGACTTGGATCAGAACTTTCTTATAATTAATATCCTTAAATATGATTGCTTGGGAAATGGAGAGAGGAAGTACCATCTCTAAAATGTTAATGGTTGTAAATTTGTATCTTAATTTTCTACTTTTTTTGGTGCCAAGTCTTTTACTAACTTAAATTAGAGACTCATACTTTGTCTTAGGTTACCTGAAAATATTTGAAAAATAGATTCCTTTAATATAATTGATTACAATTTTTATTTCTTTACTTGAATCAATTACCTTCCCAATCCCCCACTTATACTTTTATTGCTTTGTAGTTCTCATGTTTACTTTTGACCCTTCAATTGAAGAAGTACTGAAACAACTGGAATTGAAGAAGTTCTTGAACTTCTTTTTAGTGACAGAAACATGGGAAGTTAATACAGTGAGGGAATAGACTGTGGTACATTTCTATGTTTTATACTTTTAAAAATATATAGTATGCATTGCCTAAGGTGTGAATGATTGACAGTTCTATTCCAACTTTGTGTTGCATTTCCAGAATTTGATGCCTTATCCAGACTTGGAATCCCAGATGCTGTGAGCTACATAAAGAAAAGATATAAGACTACACAACTTCTGTTTTTGAAAGCAGCCTGTGTTGGTCATGAACTTGTGGATCAGGTGGAAGCATCAGTAGAGGAAGCCATCAGCTCTGGAACATGGGTTGATATTGCAGTATGTTTAGTCTTTCTTTAAATGAGGATTAACTAGTATTTCATTAATATATGGTAGTTTTAAGAATTAAGATATATAATCTTGAGTTTAGAGTCAAATTTTAGCAGTCATTGGTATAATAACAATAGTCTTAATATTTTATGATTAAAACAACTATAAATCAGATACTTTCTACAAGGGAGGAAGGAGAGGGAGGGTACAAAATGAAGGCAGGAAGAGTATAAGGGGCTTAAAGTGATAGTGCATGGGTGAATTAGTGGTAGAAATTCTAGGGGACTACACCTAAAGCATATGACGTGATAAAACATGTACAAATAAATAAATATTTAAAAAATTATAATTAAAGATGTTCTATATATGGGTGGGCTACGTCCAAAATTTAATAAATCTCAAAACGAGTAAACAGTATAACATATGAATCTGCCATACAGAAATTAATAATACTTCTCACAATTTTATCCAAGCATTTACAGTTCTACTAGCATCAAGTTCCATGTAGCATTTGTTTACCTCCAGTAATTAATCTCTGCCAGTGTATTAACACAAGATGTTAGCTGTGGTAGTATTTTATTTCAGTGTTCAATGCTGACCTGCCTTAATTATGCCAAAAAGATAAAGGGTAGGTGAAGAGAATGAAACGATATCAATTCACTTAGTGGTAAGAACTCAGACTTTCTTTATAAAGCAAAAAATTCCTTATTTTGGATACCCAAGTTCTCAAAAATTCCAGATACAAGTATTTATTTATTAAATTGTATGTAAGTACCTTCTTTATGTCAGGTACCATTCTACTTTTGTGAGGTGTAGTTTCTTGCTCTTAAGAGATAAGTTTCCTACTCTTAAAAAGGACACTTTAATTAGGAAGAGACTGTTAAAATATGATAATTTCAGACAATAGTACTAAGAAGAAACACTTCTTGGAATTAAGTCATCAGAACTTGCTGGTATATTGTTTATTGGGTGAACAACTGAGTGTGACTTGTAGGTTTTGGGCCTGGTCAACTAAGTGGCAAGTGGTACCACTCAGGTAGAGGGACTGATGAGGGAAGAGTAGGCAAGAGCTTGGAGTACAGGGGGCAAGAGATTGTCATTTTGGACCTGTTAAACTTGTTAAACTATTGGGCAGATGAGTAAAGAGATTACAGAATCAATAGGATCTGTCATTCCAGAGATAAGAGCTATGTAAGCAGAAATATAATGTGGAGTTTGTCAGCATACAGAAAGTTCTGAAAGCCATTGTATTTAGGGCAAGCAAATATATAACAAATGACTTATCTGCATTATATTGCATTTATGCTTTGTTTTCATTTTTTTTTTTTTTAAATTCTAGCCTCTGCTACCCAGTTCTTTATCAGTTGAAGATGCTGCAATGTTGCTTCAACAGGTGATGAGAGCATTCAGCAAACAGGCATCAGCTGTAGTCTTTAGTGACACTGTTGTAGTCAGTGAAAAATTTATAAATGACTGTGCAGAATTGTTTAATGAACTGATGCACCAAAAAGCTGAAAAGGTATGTTAATTTCCTTTCATTTATTTTCATTTATTTTCACATTTGTATCTGGTATTCTTAAAAAACATGGTAAGTAGTATATCCAAAATGGATATTGTGTTTCGTATATCAATTTTCCTCTAATATACTATATTCATTCCTTCACATTCTCATCAGGACATACCAGTTAGAATTTGGAAAAGCAGTTTTCTCAATTGAAAGCATAAAAAATGAAGTTTATACTTCACAGTTAAGTCACTTGATGGCACTCAACAAAAACCCTCACAAAACAATGTCTGTGTATCATATACATAAGTGTACAATATATTTGTCAGTCACTACACTATATATTCACAAATTCTAGCAGAGCAAAGCATTGTTATTTTAGCTTTTGGAGGTGAACAAATAGGATAACTTACTGAAGCAGTAAGTTATTACTATCAAAACTGATTACTTTCTCAGAGCAACTGCTTCAAAAGTGTTGAGAAGTAAAGATCATGTCAAATCAACTTTATGATTATTCAACTCATGTTTATAGTTAGGATCATCTACATATAAAGTCTGCTGCTCACAAACAGGTACAACAAGCCCATTTATCTCACACTGTAGTAAATTCATAGGTGTTTATTAAGTATGTAAGTAATTTATATTTCTTTTAGTTCTTTAAAAAAAATGAGCCAATTTTCTACATGTGGCCTACTAAATAGAGCAAATAGTAAAAAGTACAGAAGATTAATATCAATACAACTGAGTTTACATTTTAACTGTATATTCTGACTATGGACAAACAGATCTCGGTTTCCTTATTTCAAAGAAAGGATACTATAAATAAAGAAGGGATAGATCGATGTCTGGTACATGCTAGCTACCAGTTACTAAATGGCTATTTTATTTTTTATTTTATTTTATGACCTGTTAGTAAAATAAAACTTAAAATGCTCATCGATGTTTTCTTATGCTCTCCCGCCAGCCACAATTAGAAATACAGAAAAAATGGTGATTTTATTGTTTGAACTGTCAACATTTTTTCATCAGAAAACCAAAATACCTTTTATTATTTATTTATTTTCTTAGTGTTTTCATTTTTGTACAGTATTTCATTTCTTCCCTCAGGGGAAGAAATGTCCCCATAGTTTTACCATCATAGCACCTGTGAATGTCCCTGTACACTTCGCTTTCTGTTTTGACCCTCTCCCTCCCCTTTCTCTCCTCAGCTCTAAGGTCAGCTTGCAAGTTTTGTCTTTTTCCTTATTCTTTGTTTGGTTTTTCTATATTCCACATATAAGTAAAACCATCCAATATTCTCTTTTCCCTTCTGAGTAATTCCACTCATATTAGTTCCAGCTCCATCCATGTTGCTGCAAATGGCATGAGTTTCTCTTTATCACTGACTAGTATTCCACTGTGGGTATATACCATATCTTCTTGATCCAGTCATCTGTTTTGGTGCATTCAGGTGATAGCATGTCTTAGCTATTGTAAATAATGCTTCAGTAAATATAATAGTGCAGATTTCCTTTCAAATTAGTGTTTTTTATACCCTTTGGGTATATTGTTACTATTGGGCTCAATAAATCATACAGTAGCTCCATTTTTAGTGTTTTGAGGAATCTACACACAGTTTTCCATCGTGACTAGACCAGTTTACATTCCTACCAACATTGTAAGAGGGTTCATTTTTCTCCACATCTTTGCAAACATTTGTTATTCCCAGTCTGTTTGTTTATTTTTTAATGTGTGCCTTTCCCATGAGTTTGAGGTAGTATCTCTTTGTGGTTTTGATATTCATTTCCCTGATAATAAGTGATATTGAACATTTTTTTACATGCTTTTTTCAGCATTTGGATTTCTTCTTTGGAGAAGTATCTTTTGATACTTTTGCATTATTTTTTAGTTGTGTTAGCTCTTCGTAAATATCATTCTTAACAATGAGTAATGCTATTACTTTTGTCAGTAAGGTTTACAGCCCTTACCTGCGATAAGGAACTAGTTTTTGAAGTTAGAAATACTCTTGTTCTTAACATAAATTTTAAAAATCAGAGACCAAGATTGAAATGAGAGGGAAAAAAAACATATGACAGAGTTTACAACTCTTATCCATTTATTTTGATGGAGATTTCTTACCTTTCTGGTTACCTCAGGTATCCAAGTAGAACTTGCTTGGGAGTTTCTAAAAGAAAGGGACTCACTTAATAAGCGATGGTAAAATGAACCAAAATACAGGTGGAAAGAGCTATATCTGATATTAATATGTTCTGGATTTCTTAATAGCTAGTAATAACTAAGAAGACCAAGAACAGCAAGAAAAAAATATTGACTTACTACAAGGGGAAACAGTAACAGTATCAGAAACAATTGTGAAACAAAACTCTGTAGTTCTTCTTAATAATGAAACCAAACAAGAATAATTAGGCTGTACCTTGTGAAGCAACCTTTATTTCAACTTTTGTAGTATTATGTTTTTGCCTACAAAAAAAAATGTTTTATTTTAGGAAATGAAAAATAATCCTGTGCACTTAATCACTGAAGAAGATCTAAAACAAGTCTCCATTTTGGAAGGCATTAATACAAATAAAAAGGATAAAAAAGATGAACGGAGGAGGAAAGCAACAGGTAATAATTATGAACAAAAAAAGTTTTTTATTTTTGCAGTAAGCTTTACATTCATTAGGCCCTTTTAAAGACCCTTTATTTTGGTTGATTCATCTTCAGCTGCTAATACTATTTTTTAAAAGATTTGTTTATTTATTTATTTATTTGTTTGTTTGTTTATGCATTCAGGGGTGGAGTGTTGTGGTGAGAAGACTCCAAGACATGGGAGAACAGAAAAGGCATATCTACTGAATACTGCTGAGGGGAGCAGTGGGTGAGACAGGAGAGGTCTGGGCTAAGTGGGTCAGTTCCTGGTTGGTGATCAAACTCATGCCGTAGTGACTGCTGATGGTTTCGTAGTGCTGAGATGTAACCCCTTGCTGCTACTGAGAAGGCTCCCAGTTGCTAATATTAACCAATTCTTTTTTTAATGAGTTTAATTTTAACTATAAAAAATGGAAATATTGGTAATTCCTCATTTTATGATTTATATTCTGAAAAGCCAGTTAAATTTCATGAACTGACCCATCTCCAGTTGTTCTTTCTTTATCCTCTCTGTTCCAGTCACATTTACCTCAGGACCTTTGCACTAACTCTTCCCTCTACCTGCATGTTCTCTCTCACATTTTGAATTCTTGTATTCTTGTCATCGAGAGCTGAACTTCAAATGTCAGTTCCTCAGAGAAGTCTTTAACCAACCAGAATAATAGACATTGTCATAGTCCATTATGTTATCTTCCTAGTGTTTTTCATATCACTGTTATCACTGTGGTATATTTTATTGTTTGGGAACCTTGTCCATCTTTCTTATTGTTTTCCTAGTATTTAAAATACACGAGCATATTTTAGTGCTCTGTAAATGTTAATTGTGCGAATAAATTTCCCAAGGAGATATTATTTGTAATAAGGTCTTTTTAAATTAAGAGTCATTAACTATTTTTAGGCCCTCCTTGGTGGCGCAGCACAAAGAACCTAAAGCCACCTTAGCATGAGTTCGATCCCCACCCAGGAGGTGATGCACATTGCACCACAGACCTCTCCTGACCCGCCCGCTGCTCCTCTCAGCAGTGTACTTCGTCGATCTGCCTGTTCTGCTCCCCGCTCTGTCTCTGATGAAGCCTCTCACCACCCTGCACCTCTGGCCTGTACCCCAGTTCTGTATGTACAAATAAAAAATAAATAAATTAAAAAAAAAAGTCATTGACCATTTTTCAAGGAAAGAGTCTGGTATTCTAGTTACTTGAATTTGGAAGATAATATGTATTTTCCATATTTTATGGTAGGAATATTTCACTACTGCTGCATAAAAGCTAAGCACATTAGATATTCAGCTCATATCAGTAATAAATGCAACAGTATTGAACATGTTTATAAAAACTTTATTTTCATTTGCTGTGGGGATTTATTTCTGTGTGTTTGAGATTATTTCTTTCCTCTGCAAAAACTGATTTTTACAAAATCTTTCAATGCTATTTTGGAAATTCTTTTCTTGAAAAGCTATAGTAAATTACCCCAATAAACTATAGAATCTACAACCATGCATATGTTATCATTATGCTGTAATTAATTGGTTGTATTTATGTCAGCATATGCTGTTTGTTTTATTTTTTTCCAAAACCTGTCATCTGTGGTCCTTTGTCAGTGCTAGTCCTGTAATATAATAGTTAAACTACAGTATATGGAGTAATGTCTAACATTGAAGTTTTTGCCATAAGAAAATCATTATCAAATGTAAAAAACATATTCATGCCAGGCTTGTACTTTTGAAAATTGTATTTTTCAATCAGAAAAGTAAGCATAAAATAAGTGGAAACTTTAATTAATATGATGATGTCTAAGGGAATTCTGCTGAGTTTAGAAAAAGATCTTTAATTTTATTTCATGAAATTGAATCTTTTATCATGAACTATAGAGTCCACATATTTCAATGTTTCAACTCTGTTAGTTACTATTTTTTTAATATTTAAATTTAAATATCTACTAGATACTTTCATTTAGTATTTGAGTTTGTTTCAGATTTATTTAGCCTTTGTCAATAGGAGGCTGCAAAATTTTTTTCTACTTATCCACCTTAATAATCAATACTATTTGATCAATACTTTTTAAACATTCGTTACGTTTTGAGTATAGCTATATTTCCTAAGGAAACAAACCTTAATGTGATATGTTTCTGCTCTTAAACGTTCACTGTCTGGTTGAAGTGGTGGATGAGTAGTATGTCTCTATAAACATGGATGTTGGTTTTTTAATCAAGAAGATAAAACTATATATTTAATTAAATTTGTGAAGTTTTTAAATGGATCTTCTGATCCGTAGTCAGACGCGTTATCCATTGCGCCACTGGCCCACTAAATTTGTGAAGTTTTTAAATGGAGGATATAAATGAGGCTGTGGTAACAGAGATAAGCAAATAAGGGTACATTTACTCTAGGGAAGGTAAAAAAGGAAGTACTGGAATAGATTTGACCAGGAAACTTTTAGACAGACTTACAGAAAGAGTTGACAAAAAAGAAGTGACATTGGAGACTTAAGGAAGAGACTACATTTAGAACAGGTTACCTGAGTGAGGTGCTCAAATTAAAGAAATTACCAATTTATTATTTATTACATTTCATTGATTGAATGTGCAAAGCTTTTATACAATAGTAACGTTTCTTAATTATTTGACTTTTATTTTCCTACTGTAAAGCTAAATATGATAAAATAGTGGTAGCATTTTCTAAAAACACTAATTTAGATAAGTAAAATTAATGTCATTTTTCCACAAGAGGGCAGTGGAAGTGTTAGAGGAGGAGGTGGTGGCAATGCCAGAGAGTACAAAATTAAGAAAACCAAGAAGAAAGGAAGAAAAGATGATGATAGTGATGATGAGTCGTCTCACTCAGGTATGTAGCTATATTTTTTCTTTCTTTATATATGCATGATTTTTTATATATGCATATAATTAAGTATATATGATTATATAAGACTTGACACAGTTTCAAAAAGGATAAATTTCATTTACCATACTTGAGCTAAGGGTCATGAGCCCCTCAACAACACAATTCATATTTCATTTACCAGGGTATATTAACCATGAGTGATTGCATAGAGTACAAACCTCACTGGTAGCTACTCACTCCACAAATTGACACATAAATGACATAAATGACAGATGTACACTATTATCCATGACAATCACATCACTTCTTTCAAAGTTTGTCAGTGATTGATCATGGTGCATTTATTACTCACTTTATATGTAGCCAACAAGCATATAGTTATATTGCTTTCTTATCTTGCAGTGAAGAAACACAGACATTTTATAAATAATCAGAAGATAGAATTTCCCAGGAAAGATAAAGTACTGCAAGGAAGTGTAAATTGATAACATTGCAAAGTAAAACAGGAATCAAGAATAAAAGGAGTCACAGAAGATATAACTTCATATGGGAATGATAACATTGCCTTTATTTAAAAGACTCTATGTAAGCAGAGGAACTTAGTAAAGGCACACTTAGTGACATGTTAGGAAAGTGGTTGTGACAGAAAGAATGAAGATATCTTAAAGTATGTCAAGGTGACAAAAAAAGCTTCAAATTAAAGGAATTTTGAGATGCTTTACAGCATTGAAAGGGCAAAGAATAAGCTTTTGAAAGCTGACCCAAGGGTTTAAAATGAAGTATAGTGACTTACCAAGGCATAGGAAAGATATATATTTTTTTATATTGTAAGTTCCAGGAAAAGAAGAGAACAAGTATAATTCAGATTGTTCTTGACAAAGTTGTTTACAAAGAAGTCAAATATTTTCACTCTCAAAGATTCTGATGAGCTAGAGTGTAAAAAAACTGACATTAGTTTTGTTTCCTTATACATTCATAACCAAGAGTAAGAGCTTTGTATGTTTACATAAAATTTTTTAAATGTCAGAATAATTACAAAACTTCCCATTAAGTACATTTTGCACAGTTTCAGCTGACTGAGTCATTTTTATGTCTCCCAGTATTGTGCAAAACAATTTGCAATATTTTATGAAAAGTTAGTTTCTGCATATTTAAGTAGGAAATACTCCTGTTGTGCACATTTAATTGTTATGGTAACACTGAGTTGGTTAATTGTTTCTACCTAGTGAAAAGAATTTACTATATGTATCTTTCTTTTCTAGACTTGTTAGTGTTTGGTGTGGTTAAATCAGCAAGAGATGTCTTGCTTTGTTTTTCTAAGGAAAATTATGTCTTGTTTTTCTGTTTAAAAAAATTAACTTAATGAAGTCATGATACTCCTTTTTTTTCCCCAGCCCAAAAAAAATTGAAGTGGTAATGTGAGATTTTATTTTTCTAGTTCCCAAAGCTCATTATATATGGATAGCGCTAGCAGATAGAGATATTAAATGACCTGATTTCATCTGTTAATGTATACTTGTACACATTACCAGTATAATGCACAATTGTGAAAGATACATATATTACTCTAAGATCAGTAAAATTCTCTCATTATCTACATGTATATAGGAATATTAATTAAGGCAAGTGTCTTCATAGAATCTACTAGCTCTACCCTATTTTAAATAATATTAGGATTATCTTATGTGGATTTTACTTTTATATTTTTTTTTTTTTTTTAAGATTTACTTACGTATACAAGAACTGGGGTACAAGCCAGAACTGTAGTGGGTAAGAGGATTCACCAGAGACAGAATGGGGAAGAGAACAGGCAGATTGATTAAAATACACTGCTGATGTGAGCAGCAGGTGAGACAGAAGAGGTCTGCTGTGCAATGTAGGTCACCTCCCTGGCCGGGGATCTCATGCTACAGTAGCTGCAGATAGCTTCATAGCGTTGAGACTTAACCCCTTGCACCACTGAGGACCCTACTTTTATATTGGTTAATGAATTTCTTGTTCCCCAAATATATGTGCTAGAAGTGAGGAGCAAAAGGGCATTTAAGAAAATACTTGTTAATATGGTTGGCCTTAAATAGTTGCTAAAGAAGACAATCATCTGTATTTAGCTGATTATGCAAAGGACTAAAAAGGTAGTAGAACCATTTTACCTAAAAAAAAAAATGTAATTTTATTGCTTTTGTAAAAGCATTGTGTTGTAATTTCTAAAATGGGAGATATAATTAGGGTCTAGTTAAAATATAGGATCAACTTGTGTAGATGAGTGCTGAAAGGAAGTATAATTTAATAACCTTTAAAATACATGAAGGAAGCAAATAGAAATCAGAAGAAGCTATTTGGTGTAGCAGATCAGGATAGCAGAGCTCAAAACGAAAACAATACTTTAGTCTAAAGCTGTGATCTCTTACATGTTGATGCATTAGTGAAAACTGACTGTTGAGCTATTTTACCTTTATTATTAGGTTTCACTTTTAGAATAAGCCTAATTTACCAGGAAATAATCATTTTTTTGCTTTTATAGTTAAAGTGAAAGTGGAAATATTGTTTCTTTTCATTATATGCAATCTATGATTTTAAGGTAAATAGGTAAGAATAACATTTCCATGATTAACAATTATCTCCATACAATAGCTGCATAGAAATTTTTCTTGCATTTTTGTGAGAGCCCATCTAAATTATATAGATAAAATTATGAATTTTTTTAATCTATACCTTCTAAAGAGATACATTTTAGCATAGTTCTACTAGAGTTCTGTTTTACTTGGTTATAAAGACTGAATATATAAATTATAAGGATGGCATGATTTTAGTAATATTTAGTAAATATTCAAGTTGCACAAATATTCATTTTTATTAAAAATGAATCCAGTGTTGTTCAACAAAGAGAGATTATTCTCTCCTACAAGAGTTTTTTTCCATTTATTTGATTGTTTTGATTTCTGTTTGAATCATCCAAGCTAGATCAGTTTGGCGGGGGGG